TGGATAACAGGTCTTATGCCAGGAACAGACTCAGAAAACCAATCCCTTCTGCCAGAGGGAAAATGGAAAACACTCAGGATTCATCATGGAACAGGGAGAAATCTAAAAGTACACACATCTATTGAAAGGGAAATCTTTTCTTCTAAAGAGAGGAAGTCAATACTCTTCAATGTCTGTAGGATTTCTCCCTTTACAAACAGTATTCGCAAATTTTGTTATTATTTTAAACAGGTCTTTATCCTGTGTTTTAATACACAGGCATCTCTATCATTCTCTTCTATGGAATTCAATTTCATTTTCTACAGAATGGAGCTCCATGTTTCTTTCCAATTTGTCTATTTATTCTTTCTTAACCGTGTGCTTTTTTTAGGCCTTGCTAAGTATATATTCATAATGTAACACATTTGCCTTGTTCAAAATTTCAGAATGCTGTGACACATCTTGATTAAGTTCACCTTATAGCTGATGGCTAAATGTAAATTGGTCGTGTCTGTCTCCAACAAGCACTAGCTGAATGATTGTATAGAAAAAATGAAACCTTTTCCTAATCTTTATCTGTTGCCCACTTCTCTCTGAATACCAGAACCCCCAAATACCTAAATGGATTCTTTTGAGTCTCAGTCCATTTTTAAAAGTCTGATTACCTCATTTAGCCTAAGCTCTAATTGTCAGACACACCAGTGCCTCAGGGTCTGTAGAATGTGCTTGCAAGCTGCACATTCATGATAGATTCTTAACTACTAACATACAGCTCATTATTGGACAGATCGAAATTCACTGAAATGAATAGAAAGCTTTAATCTAGATTTTCTCTCTCAAACCTGCAAGTTGCTCAAGTGCCCTCAGGCTTTGCAATCACAGCTGAGAATTCAGCATGCTCCCCATGAATTTAAGATGGCAAGGAATTGAACAGAAGTGCAGCCACACAGTGAAGCTTGAAATGGGTGAAAATTGAAATAAAAGAAACAGAAACAGAGAGGGTTCCACATATAACTTCAGGAAAATATTCCTATCTAGACAAGATAATGGCCAGTGATTAGAAAACAAGCTATTGTAAAATGCAATGGGAAATGAACTTAAAGGGTGCTGGATGAGTTCAAAACTACATACAGTAATAGTAACTAGCTAGTAACTAACTAGTAACTACTCTAATTACACAAAGTGAACTGTTAAACATAATTTTCAAATTTAAATATAGTGAAAAGGGTACTTTAACCCTCAAGCAGAAAGCTACCACTTTGACAAGAAAGCAGAATAGGCAAGAAAGAACAGGATTTATTTTTTTAGTAACAAAGACAAGATTTTGAAAGTACACACACACATACACATATAAAAATAAGTATCATTTTCTTGAGTTTGACTAGATGAAAAATAGATGCCTCTTACAGAAAAAGTATGTGATAGTCGTTCTGTGGCTTGTATTTCAAGGATTATTTGGATACCACAACAACAATAACTCATTCTGCAAGATAGGCAGTGAAGAACTGGCCTCAGGACATCTGCATGCAGACATTTATTAACTAAAAAAAAAACAAACCCAAAAAAACTGCTACCAGAATAAGCATGCAAGAAGACCACACTGTCATGCAACTCATCCTCTGAGAGGAGAGAAATGACAATGATGTGCCATGATAGATTGCCCTCAAATGCATCCTCTCTCAGGAATGAAATTCACCCTGTTCTGAGATATCAGATAGCAACAAAACCTCCCTACCTGTTCTGAATAGCACAGAAAAAGAGCTAAAAAGATGAATACTGGTTTGAACTAGTTTTGTACAGGCCTTTTATCTTATGAATGAAGCTATCTCCCAGCTTGAAGAACAATGGAAGAATAATGGAAAAGGCAAAAGTGCAGAAGAGAGAAGCAAAGGTAATTTGTTCTCACTAGGGGCAAATAGAGTCACAGGCTGGGAACACCAGATCACATGTACCACAGAAAGAAAAAGTGTCAAAAAGGGCAAAATGGATGTGGAGATCTACAAAACAGCACTGGTTTTGTTATTTTCTCTTATCTTGGGAGGGCAGATGTTTGATATATTTATGCTGGTTTGCAAAATGAAGATTAGGATTAATTTTCTGTGTGCTGCTCTGGCTGCATGATCAATTTTTGGTAAGCCAGTTAGAGCTAGGCATACAGGTACTCTGGTATTGCAAGAAACAGACAGACCTTGAAGCTTTATGGATTATTTTTTTCTCAAGAATGTTAGTCCACTTGGTTTAACAATTTCTAAAGGAATTGAACAAAAATGCTTATGTGCTTCTAAAATCCCACTGTATACTTCTGATTAAATACTTACAAGTGTCTCAAAAAACCCTTTGCTATATGGAGACAAAATACCTCCTCATGTCAATGATCCACTGGGAGTACAGATCCATTACTACAGTTACAGCCCTTAAAAAGGGATTTATAAAACAATTAGTTCAAGAGAGCTGAGCAAAAGGAAAGCTAAATGCTGATTTTTCTAAGAGCAATTTATTAAAATTGCAGAGGTCAAAATGCGTATGTGGTGCCAGAAGAGTATTTGTTGGTACTGTCAATTCAGAAGATTGAACAAATATTTTGTTTCAAGCATATCTATGGATACTTTTCCTTTTATTTTGGAAATATTACTCTGCTGCAGCAGCATTTTTAAGTTTCTAATAATAACTCCCATCCTGTTCATAAACGTCATTCTGTCAAGTTTATAGCCTCAATCTATTACAGCATTTCAGCTGGGCTGCAAAGATCCCAAGCTGGGAACTGCCACTTCCACAGCTTTTCCAGCTTTGGCTTAGATGTTCACTATCAGCTGTAAGAGCAGAAGTCAATACAGTCCACCCTAGATAGGGATGTAGTACAAAGATGCATAAAAATCCAAATGGTTGCATACTTATATAAAGGTCAGCTTTTTAGTTTTCATGCATCACTATTCCATTGATTTCAGCTAAGCCATTGAAATTCATAGAACCTGGAGATTTTCATCTCGTTCCTGGTTTTTAAAATAAAAATCTGAAACAACTTCTAAAATGTCTTTCAACAAAAGTTAATCATAATTTTTTTTGCAAAAGAATGTTAAATAATGTAAAACCATCTTAACTGGGGCACTTCAACTGAAAGAAAAAGCTGGTCATAAAATAATAATCTGAACCAATTTTATTAATTTATGCAAATGCATTACACTGTGCACTAAAATGCACAGTATGAATGAGAGCGACTCAGTAAGCATCAGATCATTCAGAAAATAGCATGATGTGAACATACGTAGTCTTGCAGTATGTGCAGTTAATGTAGTAAACACCAGTTCTCACATCTTATTTAGTGTGAACAGGCTTACAAGTAATACCAAACGAAGGGGTTTTTCACACTGAGGTATTTTGTTACCATCCCAGGTAAATATGCCCAAATTTCTTCTAAATAATGGAGTTACTGTTGTAACCAGTAATCTCCTAATCTATAGATACCTCTCACAGAGGTCAGTCATCACCATCAGTCCTTTCCTGAGGACAGCTCTCTTGACACTGCATCTCCATGGATGATCTGTACAGATCCTGCCTCACTGCTACCATCCTTCAAACGAGCCCTTCACAGGCTGATGTCTCTTTTTTCCCACGTGATCAACAGTTGCATTTTGTTTGAAAAGGCTGACAGTCTGGAAATACATCCAAAGTCATTCAAGTCCCATTTGCAATATTTGCATACCTCTGAGCACTTGTGTTGACTGCAAGGTCTTTGCAGTCTTTCTGCTACCTGGCTGCTTCACCCTAACGCACCTTCATCTGCCACCAAAAGCAACATCGTGCCACTGGATAAAATGTAAAATATCTCCTGCTGTCTCAGAAGTCAGTCTGCCAGGCACAGCAGAAGGCAAAACCTTTACTGTCTTTCCTTAGGCCATGCTAACATCTTAGTTTCACAAAATAAAATCACTTCTATATTATTTTTTGTCTGAATTGTTACAAGTGTGCTAACTGGGCTACTTTTTCCTTGTCCAATGTGTCCCCTCTCTTTTATACTGGAAGGGATCAGTGCTAGCATATAGACTAGACATTTGACAAATTAATTTCCTAAGTACTTTCCCAGAATCTGACTGCTGGTTTGGTGAACATCGAGTGTGAAATCAGATGAAAGAGCTACAAATGACTAAGAAGCACATATAATGTACAGAAATAATGTATGTACACAGTAGAAGCCTTCTTCTTGCCTCAAAAATCTTTATACCTTTCTCTAAGTGACAGAATGTGAAATAGTTGTACAAGAAATTAAAATGTTTGAAAATTGCAAAAAATAGAGAGGAAGGTATATTAGAAATTGCACAAACTACTGGCATCAGTTTTTATTCTGATCTCTCTCAATATTGCTGTAATTCTGTATATGTACATGCGATTTGAAGAGCAAGAAAAGTAGATTTTTTATTAGATATGTCGCAATCTACACTTTGCACTTTCCAAGTAGTCCACACTTAGCACCATAGAAACACAGGCTATCCTGAGTCATAACGGACCCAGAAGGATCATTGAAGTCCCACTCCTGGCCCTTCACAGGACATCCCCAAGAATGTGCCTGAGAGCATTGTCCAAATGCATCTTGAACTCCAGCATTATCTTTTTAAGTTGAGATGAAGAATAATACACTCTGTATTTTATAGGGTTCCAAATTAAGTACTAGGGGAGAAACAAACAAACAAACAAAACCAAACAAACAAGAGTGAAAAGATACACAAATGTCAGTGATTTTAAATTACTTTTGGGGCTATAACAATCAGTGCAGAACTCCACAATAGAGACTGGGCAGAGCATGCACACCACTGTAACAGATGACTCAGAGTATTAAATGTATCCATCCAAAGTCACTTCTTGCCCCTTTGTAGTGTTACTACCTTAAAAGAATCAATGCAAAATTAATTATAGAAGGGAACTTGTGTTGACAGTCTCCAGTGAACTCTGCCTCTTTCACACGTGTTTATTGAGCCATTATAGGTGAAACATCAGGTGCTGAGCATATGATGCTAGATAATACTCACAGAAACTGCCTCCAGGATTTGTTTAACAGCATCAGCAGCATCTCGTTCACTGTAGTAACCCTTTTCCACAATCCTGCAGAAAAAGCAGCAGGATTAAGCATTAAGGTAAATAAACAGTGCAGACAGAGGCTTCTTTTCAAAAATGAGATTGCAAGCAATCAAATTTAAATATGACCAGGACTCTGGAGTGCCCCCAAAAGACTAGAAATTTTTTTTCTCCTTTTACAATTTAAGTTATCCTTGATTCCTACCTAAATGAAAAACAGAAAATGAGGCCAAATATCAACTAGGTAAAATGCTCATAATATGTACATATTCAGTTCAAAGATTTTTGAGCTGCCTAAAACTCATGGAATCTGAATTACTTTCAGATAAAACTAGGCATCCTTTAGGAACTGCTTTTTCACTTTTATATTTAACTTGTCTCCTATCTGACCCCATATTTAATTAGTTAGTAAGTTAGAAAACAATAGCATTATGCTACGCGCACATAGATTTGAATTATTAAAGAGAAACAGTTGGTGTAAAAACTTACTAGCTTCAAATTATCCCTCAAGTATAATGGGCTGAACCATTGTCTTTCACCCATCAGTAGAAAACTGCGAGTGCAACATTCAAAGAACCACAGTTTCATTATAACTAAAGTACTTCTTTTCTTTCTTTGTAACATAAACAGCTAGTACACGATGTTTACTTTGTATAGATGACATGTGATAGTAGCATTTCATAATGTGCTGACCATATGCTGCTTATGGGGAGTTCAGCAATGTTTGTGATTTCTGAAGATCCTGAAAATCCTCTGTTCTTTTCTACCTTTGCTTTTATATGAGTTCAGTCTTGCAAAAACCAACAAACCTTCAATTTTCTTCAATAATATTATCTTCCTGGAACCTCAAGAATGATAAAAACATTAAGAAAGAAAATACTTTTCTGTGTTAAGGTAAGGTTGAAGTGGTAATGTATGCTATGCTGCACAGAAGGGGCAGCAGTTAAGTTCAGTCAAACAGAGGCCTCCTTGGATAAATAATGAAGTGCTGAGGAAATTCGGAGATAAGAGAGAGGCCTTTAGGAGGTGGAAGGGAGGACAAATGGAATGGAAAAAATACAGAGAAGCTGTAAGAGAAGCTAGAGACGCAGTCAGGGAAGCTAAGGCACAGTTGGAATTGAGGCTAGCCAGGGACATTAAGGGTAACAAGTAAAGCTTCTACAGGTATGCTGTGTGTAAAAGGAAGGCTAGAGATAATGTGGGCCCTCTCCAGAAGGAAACAGGAGAACTGGCTACTCTGGATATAGAAAAGGCTAAGGTTCTTAATGACTTATTTTCCCCTGTCTTCAACTCCAAGTGCTCCAAGTGATTAAAAAGGGTAAAGGTGGAGACTGGGAGGATGAAACCCCTAAACCCACTGTAGAAGACGAGTGGTGTCCCTCAGGCGTTGGTGCTGGAGTCGATACTGTTCAATATCTTTGTCGGCGACATGGACAGTGGGATTGAGCTTATGTCACATGCAGTTAACTTTCCAGTTTTCCAGAAGTACAAATGGTAGGTATGCCAGTTTGGTTTTTATAATAACAGTTCTACTTGAGACCAGTAAAGCTTCTTTACATGGATTTTTCAATTTCAGCCTGCAGATTAACAATGACTCATTGCCCTTTATTCCGTAATGGGAAATGGGAACGAAACTTGCAAAAATGTCTTATTTTGTATTTTTGAAGCAAATCCAACTATTTATACCTAGTTTAGAGAATGATCTTTAAGAAAACCATGGATGAAGGAAGATTAAACCTTTGCTGAGAGGACAGAAAGATAGGAACAGCAACAGGGAACTAATAAGGGACTAATTAAATACTCTCTTTGATATGCAAATTAAAGAGCCAGGTAGGCCAAAAGAGTGCTGGAAAGAAAAACTCTGAAGAAGACTGCAGAGAATCCAGAAATGCTTAAAGTCAAACCAAAAACAATATAAAAAAATGAATTTGGTGTTACAAATGTCCAGAATATTCAAGACAGACCTTCAAAGTGCCATTCTAGAGCAAACAGAAATGTGATGCTGATGAAACAAACACTTTATTTTCCCTTCATGTAGAATCATTTTTCATGCTTACGCATACACATTTATTGAAACATGCTGATTCAGTTGTTTACACTAGTATATGGCAAGATGCATTTAAGAGAGTATCTACTGATGGACATCAAGCTACAGGTCTCCTAAAACACCACCTGATTTAATCCTGTCTTTCCAAGCACATGTCAACATATTAAAGACAAATCTGCCTCCTTCCATACAGAGAAGCAGGGAAGTACTTCCCTAAGGCCCATTCTTATTGCCCCTTCCCACTTCCAGCAGACATGAAGATGTCCCCTGGGAACAGCCCGGGTGTCCATGGTGCTGTGTCTGTCTGCAGGGTCTAGTCACACAGCTGAAACCACCTCACTGTGCATTCCCCCCACCAGAGCCCTCACCCATGCCATCAAAGCAATTATAATGCCCTCTCAGCTGCTGCTGAAACTCAGCGATGGAAAATCCTTGCAAGGTAGTGAAGCTATAACAAATTTAGCACTGAGCAAAACCACCCTTAGCATCACACTGCCCAGCAAGCCCATGGAAATAGTATAATGTATTTCTTGTGATGCATGCTCTCCTATACACAGTGGGTAGCTGAAATTTTGTCAGCCTCCACGCAATAGTCAAACATATGTATGTCTTCAAGTGTTTCATAATTTGCAGAAATCCTTGCCAGCTTCCAACCAGCCTTTATAGCATTTTTGTTCCCTCTGAGTAATTCAAGTTTTCTTGCAATATAAGCCCTTTAGTTTTGCAGATGGTTTTCAGTGTAGCCACTCTACCACAGAATTGCAGCAGTTGCTGTTTTACTTAAAATGTTTCCATTATGCACATCTTCATCAGAGTCTACACCACAGATGTATAAGTTCTTAGCAGCATTCACCCTATCCCTGAAGTCTGCAGTATAATTTGGGAAGACCGTGGAATGGATTTTGCACCCTTTGGGGCATTCTTCTTAGGACTTGGTACTTTGCTTTAATTCACTGTATCTGTATGAAGCCACTGAAAGCAGTGGGGTATTGCAGTAAAGGGAGGTAGGTGATGACCATACTTGCTCTGCAGAAACTATATTACTGGTGAGAAAAAAAAAAAAAGAAAGAGCACAGTCCTGCTAAGCTAAACACAATGGATCTGAAAATCAATGAAGAAAGAGATGGGGAATCCCAACACATCATTTTAGAATCAATTTTCAGAGGACTATTAAAATTATATTGATACACAGTTTTACAGTTGACTAGAATACATGTATCTGGAGATTAATGACAAGCATGGCAGGCAAGTGGAAACAGTCAAATCCCTACAAGAACAAACAAGTGAACGTTTCATTAGAGAAGGAAAGGACTTGGTCTCAGGTTTGATTTTTCAATGAGTAACAGAAGAGAGGGCCAGTTCTTTCCAAGTCCAGCAAGAGAAACAGCACTTGAACAGCTGCAGCACTTAAAAAAGAATCAAAACCATCCATCAACTTGTTTCAAACAAGATGAAGATTCACCCAATGCTAGAAAATGCTAGACTGGAATAATCACTGATGTCACACACCTCTCTGTGCAAGACTGCCCATATCTTAAATTCTTCACCAACACTTGCTGCTGCCCAAACAGTGACATCTCTCAGCTAAGACTGAGGAAGGGTGTGCATCCTTCCCCAGGCAGTGCAGCCCACAGAGCCACTCCAGGCCTTGCACTGTAGAAACTCCTCAAACTTCTAGTTGAGAGCACCAGGACATGGAAGAAGCAACGCAGAAGAGAAACCAAACAGCACAAGAAATGGGTACTTTTACCAGCTCCCTGATCCTGAAACCAAAGACTCTTTCTCTTTTATTTTATTTGGGTATCGGAATACAGTGCAATGCCTATTCCTGCAATTTTAAACACAAGCTGTTCTCACAACTCCTTGTGATCAAGAAAATTTGAAATCTTACCCACTTTAACAAAGTTTTTCCTCCCCCATGCTCTACATGCACTAGTTCTCCTATTCTTAGCTTTTCTTCCCTGCTTTCCTCCCACATGGGCCACCCTACCCATCCTCCAGTCTTGCCTGAAATCAGAGCAGGTAAAGTCTGTTTCTTTCCTTCCTTTATTTGGATTGGTAAATGCACTTTGTCTTATGTTAATTAATCTAAACAGTTTCTCTAAAATTTGCAATATTTAGCCATAATTTAATATTGCTTCTATAAATACTATTTCTCCACAATGTGGAGTTGGTAGCATTTGAGTGTTAGCTGAATCTAGAAACACATCTTGTGGCTTGCAAAAGGCCTGCCAAATCTATTTAGCTATCAAAAACAGTAAAGTTTTTTATTGCTTTATCAGTTCCCAACATCGCGTCTCTTTCTTTCTTCTCGCGATGTTTGCATTTTCTTTTTAGACCGTTCTTTATAAATACCACAATTTTTAAAAGCGCCGTCACTGGTTTTAGGGTCATTTGCATTCTGCCTCTACTTGGTTTACCCAAAACTCTTGCACCGCATCTTAGCTGTGGGCTGCATCATGTTACATCATCTACAGTCTCAGGAAAGACACTGGCCTATATAAATACAAGCTTAGTTCCAATGCCAGTATGTGCTAACAATTGCTACCAAATTATTTCATTCTATATAATAAATGTTAATTTGCCTAAAATGCTTTGGTTGTCATGGAGATTTTTCCTGAATCTCTTCACCTAATTCTTATGTAAATTCTTACATTTCATGAAAATGAAATTAAAAGGTTTCTACAGGCTAAAGTGGGCCTGAAAACTAGCAGAAACAGGAAAAGAAAATTACATCAGTCTTTTCAACAGCAAAATGGTTTCCACAAGGAACGTTTTCTCAATAAATGATTCACAGATCTGTTGTCTGTACTGAGGTGATTCCAATTCTCTGTTGCTTTGATGTATTTATAAAGTTAAAAATAAGGTTTCCCTCTTAAAATATTTCCGCATTTTTTATACTACAGAATTGAAGGGTAATAAAGATTTTAAAAGTAATTCTGATCCAGTTTGCTGATTCTCCCTTACCTATATCCATTTG